CCGTCACGGCAGGGACGTAGGTCATGGACCCTCCTGCCACCATGAGGTGGCCTAATCCCTCTTCAGGTCTTTGGAGGCCCCCTTCAAGTGAGGACGTGTCCTTGGAGACCTCCTCCATGGGCAGCCCCGCCGTGGGTCGTTGGCCATGAGGAGACATGGTGGCCGTGTCTCCTGGGGTGACCTTGGCTCCTGTGTGGGAGAGCCACCTCAGCACGCTGCAGCCCACCAGCGCTCCCCCTCTGGATTTACCCACCGTGGTCCTCTCCTGAGGAACGGCTCAATGTTGGGGAGCGGGGCCTGGCTGGACACTGGCTTATATTTGTAAATGATTTGTCTTAAAGTGTATTAAAGACTGAAGTAGAGCAGCATAAAGTGGCATTGTGTTTGGCAAAGTGCGTTACCGTTCAGGGGATTTAAAATAACTGGTTCTTTTGTAATATGTTTTACTAACAGGAAAGAAATTTGTATATGTTGAGCCATCTAGGAGAGTTAAAGAAATACTTGAAGAGGAGCTTTCTTTTCAGAGAGAAGCATGCCATATTAAACATCCAGCTGCAGGTAATCCTCCTTACCAGCAAGTGGCAAGTGTTTGTCAGCGCAAATGAAATGTACATTGTTTTGAGGAACTGTGGCAAAACTATTATTAAAAAAAAAAAAAAAAACAGCCTAGAACATTTATGTAATAGCCTGGGGAACATTTAGAAACAAAAAAAAATTCCATATAGTCTTTACCACTTTTTTTTTTTTTTAAAGTCTGAATTTATGGCACCATAGAGAACATATGATCTATCAGTTTAATAAAACAGAAATAAATGCCAAACAGTAGGGAGGTTTCGTTACCTTTTTCGTTGAAAGAAGTGCTGTAGTTATTAGAATACTTTGTCCCCTTCAAAACTGAAGTTGATGTTGAAAAGAAAGAGTTGAAACAAGAATGATAAAGGTAGATAAAGGATGGCAACAATGAAAACAATTAGAAAATTGCTGTGTTTAGGCAGCTTAAACGTTATGGAGACTTGATTATAGTAGGCAAATAAGGAAATGGATGTCGAAAAGGCAGCAAGCTGTTTGGTCTAGCTAAACTCCTAAAAGTTCAGAGAACTGGAGGTAAAAATTAGGTAAGATCAGAGTAGAAATAATTAGCGGCTTTTAACAAATGAGAGAATTTAATGCTGGAACAATTTAACAAAGATTACTGAGATTCACCATTTTTAATGCACGCTTTAAATATTTTTGCACTTAAACCATTAGCCCTGGTCCAAGCTCATTTGCTAGTCTTGGTGCAGGAATGAGCCTGAAGCCATGACCCCTATGAGACAAAGCTTACATCATGCTGGTGGTCTCCTGCAGCCATAAGATCTATTAATCTAATTGTAGACAATTAATTTTCAGAAGTTTGTAATATTAAGGCTAGGTCATCTTATCCGGTTGACTACAAGGTCTTACTGCTTTTATCAGCCGAGCCGCTGTGTTCTATTAGGTACTTCTCTGTAGAGTCCACTGAGTAAAGCTGGTTATTCCACAGCTTCCCTCATTAGTTTATTCTAGTGGATGGTGTATTAAAAAAAAAAGTGCCTAATTAGTAATTTGGATTTGCGTGATTCAGTTCCTTGCGTTTCTTGGATATATAATAGTGCTTTTTTTAGTACGCAGGGTTTTCTTCCAGAGAAGGTATATACATATATATTTGGATCCTCTTCTAAAACATGAATATCAAGTTTTATCATGATATTTCAGTATTTGTATCACTAGTAGCCTGCAGAGAGAGAGAATCTTCTACTTATTTTAGAGCTACATTAGAGCTAACATTAGCACTAGGACCTTGAACTGTTTGTTGTCTGTTACTCCTAAATCCGTGATGCTTTTGCCCCACAATGCACAGTTCCCATTCTGTAGCCCCACATTCTCTTCTGCAGATTAAAGCTATTCCTTGGTTATATTAAGCTACATTTTGTTGAAATAGGCCCACCTCTCTCTCTCCTAAGCATTACATCCTCCACAAATATAATAAGGACATTTTTGCCTTTCTTTCCAAATATTCTTTGTGTTTTCTCTTGTGTAGAATTGAAACCCAAGCCTATACTCACTCAAAATGAATTTAAATTAGTTGGATTGACAGACAAAAATGTACATAAACTAGGTGATGTAATCAGTATCCTGTCAGATATAAGGACCTGCAATTCCATTACTGTGATTAGGTTCCTTAGGCAATTACAGCACACACCTGCAAATGAACTACTTCCATAGGGTCTGTTTATAGTAAATGGAGAGAAAAAGGCACTTTGAAAACACTATTCTTCTGACTTGTCCTAGATACCTGGTGTAGCATGTGTCATGCTCTAAAAGTGCCTGTTGTTTTCCCATTATAAAGGGGTTTAGGACAAGCAGCTGAATTGCAGATGTTAACATTGGTCTGCTCAAGCTGTTGATGTGTCTAGCGTTACTAAGAGCCGAACACAACTATATTTCACTGCATCCATCTGCCAATGGGTCAAAATTGTCTGAAGTATTTCAGTCTGATCGTATAAATAGATGCTACCATATATGTTCTCATGATTTCTGTGCAGTCTCCTGATGAAATGTATGTTACAAAGGCTTAAAGTACTAAAGATAATACAAAACCACTGCAAAAATATTCATGGCTGGAATTTATAATATTAATGCATAACAAGCTCGGTATATAAATGGTATGTATAGCATAATGTTATATGCATAGCATAACAATGCTATGTATAATAAGGTCAAATAGATGCTGGTGTACAGATTATTCAGGAAGTATCTAATTACTCTTTCATCTGTATACATCTGGATAATTAGAGATGCTCCTTAAGTGGCGTAGGCTCTAATAAACAACGATTGTCAGGTTGTATGGTTACTGATTTACAGTACGTTTATTGTTTTATATAAGTTAGATGGTGATTAAATTGTCACATTTCCACAAAATAAATTAGTTTTTTGTTTTGTTGTGGTGGTGTTGGCTTTATTTTTCTTGGTTTTGTTTTGTTATTGTTTTGTTTTATTTTGGGGTTGGTTTTTTTTGGAAGGGGGTTTGTTGTTCTGCTATCTTTTTATGAGGGCATTTGGTATTTATTGGTCATAACCAATAAATCACGCTGGATGCATCGATGGTATTACTGCTGTTACTTGTACATTATAGATCAGCTACATCCTGCTTCAGTAAGAAGCCTAGCAGTCGTAAGCTGTTCTACGGTAAACAATCTGAATTGCTCTCTGAAGATGTCATTCTCTTTTCATTAACTATGGAGGAAGATTACATTGTTCTGCTTAACCACTTCTAATTACTATATAGACCAAAGCGACTGTCTTTTAAAAGTTACATTAATTCTAGAACAAGTTGAACTAATCAGTTATAATGGTATTATTTTGACAAATTATTAACAGTGGCTCTGGAAGGAATTTGGAGTATGAAAAAGAATTTCTCCATTGGAAGCCTGAAACCAGTGTCACAGAACAGAAACGGTTTACTTTTACAGCCCCAGTTCTACTCAAGGCATGCAGGAATTAAAAGTAAGAGCCAATAATAAGAAACTTTCACTGTAACGCCTAATTTTAAAATTGCAGGGTCATATTATTTTGTAATTCATAGACATCTCACAGGACTGCAGTTTACATATATGGTCTTATAGTAATCACCTCTGGGCATCTTTCTGCAGAGTAACCCACCTCTTCCTTTAGTAAGTAGCCAACAGACTTGAAATCTTTGCGTAAGAAACCTGTTTAGGCCTGCTGTGTCGAGTCACCTTATTTCATATTCTGAAGCCCCTTGTAAATGTGTGGAATAATCACTTGTTTCCTACGGATAGGTGGTGAGTGTTGGTTTCGTGTACGTAATGAACCTTACTTGCCTCTTTTAACATCCAAACTTAACAAATTCAAATGTTTGGAAAAGCCCTCCTCCAATGCACCACCTGAAGAGATGGATCTAGGGATCATTTCAGGCATTTTAGCATTTGCCTCCAATGGGCAGCTGATGCTCTGGGGCATGTGTTTCTTTCTTGACAGTCTGTGCGGTGTGGCTTTTGTGGAGCAGACCTCTTCCGTATGAGCTGGGGGATTTCAGCATAGTGCTAGCAATGTGCCCACCTTCTCTCTTTCAGTGAAACCTATTAATTTTGTAGTGGAAGGTGAGAGCTTCCAACCCTATATAAAGTTCATTAGCTTTGTAAGGGGAATATTGTTAGTGTCATGAGCTTGCAGAATATGTGAACTCGGCATATTTTGCCATTAAATGAAGCACCTTCCCACGTTCTTGGGGGCTACTGCTTTAAAAATACAGCTAGCTGAATGACTAGCACCTCTTTCTTCTTATCTTGATCTTGTGAACCCTGGAGATAGTGGCATCTTAGTTACAACAGTAGCATGAAATAAATTATTGCTAGTATAAGAAGCGTTTAACCAGAACAGGCTTCTGCCACACTGCCTTTACTCTAGCGGTACTACTTGTAGGAATATTTTGGTTATAGAGCAGGCTTGAACAATGCTTGGTATTAACTGCAGTCACTTCTGGTACGTACTTAAACCAAGAAAATTTTAGCCACACCATAGAAAATACAACCAAAGAATGCCTCAGAGTTTTGAGACTTTGGCATAATTTTAAAACTCGTGTACCTGAGGCTTCTGGTGAAGGCACGCAGAATTTTCAAAGATCCTGATCTCCATTTCCTGTTAAGATCTGTGAAGAAAGAACAGCTTTAAGACAAAGCAGTTTATTCAAATTGATTTAGGTGCTGAAATCTATGGGATATATTGGTTTTCCTTTGGGAATTTAGATGTACCTTCATTCCCAGGGACTGCTGCTAGAGACAAGTGGTGCTCTCCTCACTAGCTATACTGCCTGTTTTGCAGGGGAATAGGCAGGTATCATGAGAGAAGGGGTGGCAGAAAAAATACAAGACAGGAGAAAAACTGGAAGCAGTCTGGCTTCAGCTCCTGTGTTCACCAAACCATTTCCATTCACACAGCTTCTTCTGTGTAAGGATCTGCAGAAGAAATGAGGTGCTAATATACTAATTGGGAGATGGAGTAGGTACAGGCTATGGAAATAGGCAAAAAAGAAGAGGGGTTTCTGGAGAGAAGATGAGCCTACTGTGTTTAGTGCCAGAAGGAAAAGCACGGCAAAAGGAAACGGCATGAAAGAGGAGACACAGAACAGAAGGTTGGGAATTCCTGAAGGTAACTGGAGAGAGGAGAACACAGTTCAGCAATACAGAGCTAGAAACTGTAAGGAATGAAGGGAAAAGATGTAGGAGAAATAACTAGAAGGAAGAATAAGAAAAAAAAAAAAAAAAAGATGTATTCATGTTACTGAATTTACTAGAAGGAAGAATAAGAAAAAAAAAAAAGATGTATCCATGTTACTGAATTTAGTGAAGTTAATGCATTTAGTTTTGCTTCTCCCTTTTACTGCTTTTCCCTAAAGCAACCGGTGGTTTGGGGGGCTCACTATGTGGTGTCTCATCCACACTTAGAGCAGTTCTTGTTTTTTTACAGATTGCTGAACTTTAGTGCTGTGAAGACCTGAGCTTGTTTTGATGTGTCAAATCAAACATCAAAAATGACTAGCTGCCTTTAGAAATGTAGATCGGTATTTCAAAGATTTTGAAGAAAGTTCTGCTTGGATAGAGAGCTATTTTGTCTTTGTTTATTTTTTATTTTTAATTCATATCCTCATGCTGCTTTTTAATCTGGTATTGTAGTAGCCAAATCTGATCCATATTTCCGCCAGTGATGAAAATGTCACAATCCAAAGATTACAAAATGTTCTTGCTCACAAAAATGTGCTGCTGTGAAACTTGACATTTTCATAGGCTTCTCTGTTGCAAAGTGATTCTAAGTTCCAGCAGAAGATTGTTTTGTAATTGAAGAGATGCCTTAAAATGTCTTAGGCTGACTCCATTCATTAAACTGAGCAGTTCAGAAGCCAAGAGTTTGTGATTTGATATCTAGCCTGATTTAATAAAAGTTTAACATAAATAAGCCTCTATACATGTGTCCTGGTTTCAGCTGGGATAGACTTAATTCTCTTTCTAGTAGCTGCTGTGTTCTGGATTTAGTATGGGAATAATGTTTCTTCCCAAAATCATCCCAAACATCCCTCTAGCACAATTGTGGGATAAACAAGAGTTACTGTCTTTTTAAAGGAGGGAATTGTGTTGTACAGTGAAAAAAAAAATGAACTAGGACTGATGGATAATTAAAAATTAGAGTTGAAGAGCTCCTTAATCCCAGTTATACCTCAGACTGATAATTCACATGTTTCCTAAGTTGTGATCCCGAGAGGTGGAGATGGGATTTGTTTGTGGGGCTCTCAGATCCTAAGGAAGTATCTAAACCACACTGGATATTGTTAAAAAGGAAGAGTGTCAGTGACAAATCTGTGAACCTAGATTTTGTTTTCCTTTGCTTTTTTTACAATTATCTGTGAATGAAATGAGATGTTTGTTTTTTGATTGTCTGGAACTCTTCTCTGACACTAAAAGTTTGTTTTTATTTTTGTATCAGTGAGAAGGGAAAAAATCCAAACCCTTAGTTGGCTCTAAGCCAACTATTTTCTGCATTTCCATTTTACTTCTAAATGAAAAAAAATATTGGCACTGAAAATTGCACCTGAGGCACTAGAGAAGCAGCTGCTTTTGAAAACATCATTCTCACTTTTTAGGTGCAAATTTGATCATGAACCACACAATAATGTTTGAAAAACACTGTGGTTTTAGATAAAGGCTTTGATTAAGCTGGTTGCATCTCACTTCTGGTCCTTGCTTCATCTTTATTCTACTCCCCTCCTCCTGCTTTCTCATTCTTAGTAATTTTTTTTTCGTGGTCTTGTTTTACAATTTTCCAAATGAAAAGACTTTCTGGGTCTATCCTGGATTCCTGCACTAACTCAGTTTTGCTGCAACAAAGGCAGATTTGTGAGTCTCATTTGCTCCTCTTCCTTTTTATGCAACCTTGTACAAGGGAGAAATGTCTTTTAGATCTTTTCTACTGAATATTTTATTTCACTTAGGAGGTTTGGGTAATTCTTAGCTAGTCCGATATATTCATTTTCATTACCTTTTTATGTGTCTCATCTTTCATTTGAATAAAATAAAGCAATTTGTTTAAATATGATAACATTGCATAATATAGTAATATTTTTAATATTACCATGATATTTATAATATTTCATTAAATGGAGCATTGGGTAATTTAAATTAACTGTTCTCACATTTTATCAAAGTGACTTTTTACTGTCTAACCGTTCAGACACCCTTTTCTCTCAATTTTTTTATATTATTTCATTTCCAAACTAAACACTACTGTTTTGAAAGACAAACGTTATCATTGCATCCATGTATTAATAACAGTGCTCAAACACTGACATCTTTCAAAGGCTATGTCTACTTTATCAAGGAATGAAGCACAATAGGAAGGGGTCAAGTTATTAAAGAAATTGGCGTTGAGAGCCCCATAACTAGACTACTCGTGGTTTAGGAGATTTACTTCAAACTAGAGCTCGTCTTGTCTCCTGGACTGAAACATCACCTAGATGCATGAGGTTCAGAGATGTTATAGAAAAGCTGTAGCACAAATCCTTGCCCTCTGGTCTGGGAGATGTTCGTGGGGAAAATGAGAGCATCAGTGCTGGTTGCACATCACTGCTGCTGTTGCTGCATAAGGTGCAGTCCGGTGCTTCAAAAAAACAAGGAGTATTGAAACTCGTGATAACTGCTAACAAATATCCGCAGAGCCAAATTCTGGCTTGCTGGTACACACATGCATATCAAAGTGTCTGAGGATCGTGTGGTTTTGTTAGGAGAGTTTTCTGCTCTGATTTTGGCCATGGTCTACACTGGTGAACGGCAATGATGTGTGCTGCAATGGAAGGTCAAAGAGCATTCTGGGATAGGACCCTCCATCCACAGTGTGCACAGCACTTTTGTTCGTGCCTGTGCCTTGGCCTGGAAATACCAACTTCACATTGTTTTAATCCAGCCCTGCTCACAGTCACAAGTGGAACCGTAGCTGGGCAGAATATTTTAACATCATATTTGCTGTATGTGCAATACTGTTGCCTTGTCTGTCCGGAAGCTGTTCATCCACGGAGGCAGTCATCAACTTTCAACTGAATCTTTTATCTCTGGCCGTATTTCAGGATTTTAAATTTCCAAGCACAAAGATCATAATCCCAAATATGAAACACTAGGTTATCAAATTACGGGCATTTAAACTTTACACTAAAATACAGCGTGCAGTTTTTACAGAACAGAACTTTTATCACTCTTTTTCATACAGGATTTAGGTTCTTACTTGGCAAAAACTTGCATTGAAACAATGGGGACTATTTGTGAAGAATTTCAAAGTCATTGTTAGCGTCATTTTGGTACCAGATAGCATCCTGCTACTCTTTGAAGCTGATCGTGTTTTCTTAGAATAAAAAACTCCACAAGGTTTCCCTGGCTGACAGAATGTCTGGCTTGATAGCTGCGGCTGAAAACACAACCACATCTTGCAGTACCTTTTAAACTGTGTTTGCAAGACA